CGTAGAATGATTCCTACACACTCTAGACAAGTTGAGTGTTTTACTTGATGGTGCGTTTTCACCTATGTACTGAGTTCCCTCCAGTATCCAACGGCTCTTGTGCACTGATTAACATGAAATATAATGATCAACATTATTCTTGCAGATTTTCTTCATTCGTCGGCAAAAAATATAAATGAAAACCGGATCGATCAGTGATCCTTTGCACAGCCTTGTTTACTGGTTTACGGTATTGCTTTTTGTTTTTGTTTTATCTTGGTCGACAAATGAATTGAGGAGTGCAAAGATATAAGTGGTATAACGAAAGACAAAAGAGAATGGGACCACATCATTTGTGCTTAAAAAGCCAGTAGATGCACAGTTATCACTCTATTGGTAACATTCAGCGGAATCACCCAGTCCGTCTACCCGTTAATTACGTGGACCGTCGTGTTTCTGACCAAGAAGCCTAATGTGAGAACGTAGCACACACGGAATCCTCCGGAGGCATAAGTGATTATCTAACAGCCACGGTTTCTTCGTACGGTCTACAAACAGCATAAGCAAATTCTTTTTTTTCCTTTCCTTCAGCACGAACTGAAAACTGCTGCTCGTCTACTGGAGGAATCACTCTGCACTTTCGACCGAAATTACACGCCTCCGGAAATGGTGTATGACTGTTTCGTGTTTCACGACGGCACCCATTGGCTGTGAGCAAATTTCTTCCCCCGCATTATTTTATCACCCCACCGAGCTTGTTTTACAATCATGCCATTTGCACGTTGTGTGCTAGTTTGTTCTCTGAAATTGCTACTTCGCTTGGATCCATTGCAACCGGTGCAACATCTGTCTGTCTTTATCTCTCTCTCTTCAGAGGGTGCGTGGACACCAGCCCGTACAACCCCGGCAAAACGTTGGATGACATGCCTCTTTTGGCTGACTACTCAATTCATCACCAGTACGCATGTTTTGGAGAGGACAGTAAGTAGCCTTAGCGGTCCTGTTCACGCTGGACTGTAGCGCTCCCTCGTAGCACGGTGCCTCTTCTTTTTACCATCCAATTTGCTTCGGTCAGCCTTTCCTTTTGAAACCAATCGCCAAAGGTATCTGCCATTTGAGGTGCATTATCTTTTACGACAAAAGATTTCTTCTCGAACGTTTCGTTCCACTCTGATTATATGATCATTCTATTGAAAATTGGTTCTCGTAGCTCGGGTCAACTGAATTCCATTTCACCCGTTCGCCGAGCTTGACAATTTGTTTGCAAACGTTTCGTCACCAGCCGAGGTGACATCATCAGTGCTTGTGAAGTGGCAGTGTTCTGTCTGTACCCGTTCGTTTATATATGCGTTCTTCTCCATCGGCTATTTTCGTCCCCTGTTCTCACTGTGTTCGACTCGGTCCGCCGTTGAACTGCTGCGAGCGGGTGGGGGTGGGAGGGGAGGAGGCTGTCTTTTCGTGTGTGTCATACATAAACGTAAGAAGAAATTAACAAAAAATAATCAACCATTTATTTATTCGTAAAGTAACCTTCATTATGAAGTACCTTTAATGGTGTTTGATCATAATTTAGACTTCCGTGAATGTCTTTTGTTTCACGGTAAAATTTATATCACTCTGTCCGTTATCTTGGCAATTCCGTCATATCGCTTTCCGTGCACCCCCGCTTATATTTACGCCCGAAGGAATTATACTGTTTCGTAATCTGTCTGCATGTCCTATCACTCGGTTGCATCGTTGATCTCACCTTTTACAGAAGAAGTATGCATCTTCTGTATTCTCATGCGGCTTTTTCTGTTCCCCGCCGATTAGCACAATTATTTTTCACGATAAAAATACTGGACGAGGGCAGACTGTTACAAATAGTGACCAACGATAGCGGACACGGAACACATGTGGCTGCAATGGCTGCGGCCTATTTTCCATCAAAGCAATCGACCGAGCCGGTCTCGGAGTCAGACTCGTTACGACGCGATGGAGTTGCTCCGGGAGCACAAATTGTTAGCATTAAAATTTCCGATTCCCGTCTCGGATCCATGGAAACGGGGATCAGTTTGCTTCGTGCAGTAAGTAAACGTCGTATGATGACTCCATTTTCATTCTCAAGTTTTGTCTATTCACCACAATTTTCGTTGTTTCTATCCGTTTCCATACGAACGATTATGGTTCAGTAACAATGTACTTAGTTTTCCTCCTCCCCATCCCAAGTCCCCGGGGTTGGTCACTACATTCTACTGGAATTTCGTATTCGCTATCGAGTTTCTCATGTCAGACCCCTGACCTTTATTGTTGTTAAATGCGCAAATTGTTTTTTTTTCTCGCAGCTCTTGTCNCGACAATGACGGTTTTTTTGTGCCTATAGTCAACACAGTTGTCCCCGTTTATCCTCACTTTATTCCATATTATCCGGTCCCGATTGTGCTTATTTAGTAGTGCCTTACCACGGAATCTCAGGCTTTTACGATTAATTTTCCGGGTAGTGCTCGATCCTTGGGAACTTTTAAAGACGTGAATCACAGCTTTTCTTGCTTCTTCTCTGTTGTCTCAAGAGGGTCTAGTTTGTTTTGATTTCTACACTTCTGCTGCCTCTTTCGAGAGAATTGGTCGGCTTTTATGAAGTTACACTAAAGTATGGTACAACAAACATTCCCAAAATCAATCGGCTTTTTCGGATAAATATCTCCAATATTTGCACAAATCAGCGCGGAGTATCACACAAACCATTGTGTTCATGCTGATTTTCAATTTGACTGGT